CAAGACATGGTTATTTAGGAAAAAGAAACCAGAACCAGACAGAGGCAACAAATCAAACATCCTGATACTTTTCTTTTTCCGAGCTTTACAAATATAGAGAAGTCATTAGGAAAGAATTTTAAAACTTGTTCATTCTTTATCAGTGCACCACAAAAATTCTGGGTCTTAGTAACAGTAATCTCATCATACATGGAAACATTACTGAAGAAAATATGATTAATTATTAACTTCTAAATCTCGTAATTAACACAACCTGTTCTCCTCCTGGATGTTTTTAATCTGTGAACTTCAAGAGTCAAGAAACGAGTTCTTGTTCTTCATAAATGTGCCGTAATCGCTCTCAAGGCCATAATCATGCTTCATTTGAATATATGTTCATTATTTTGGTTTTAACAAGATGTCCTTTAACCATTTTTCTCCAAGTAACTTTATTCTAGTAGAGTTCACACTGTGTAATAAATTGTTATTACAATACATAAATCAGCATGAGGCTCTGCAGGACATGGATGATTTCCTCCAAAGCAAAGCCATCCTGTTGACTCTAGTTTCTTACAAGCTTACCATTTAATTTTCACCTTGTTGATCCAGGAATAAAACTCGGATTCATTTTAATGTTGTTCCAAACACCACTGACCTGAGGCACGAGGACAAGCTTTATTTCTGTTGTTGCAAATACAGTATTGATATATATGAATATGTACAGCTTAGTACATGCTGGCTGATCGTTATCCTCACCTAAGGAGTGAGCTGGTTGTGGAGGTTGAAGGTGAATGAAGTTAAATGGAGGATGGTGTAAAGCAGCTTGTTGTACTGTGACTGATCTGATATACAGTATTTTTGTACAGTAATAGAAACAATACAAAATGTAAAAATCAGCCTTTATTAATTTCAGCAATCCTTTCTATTAAAAAATGATGAAAGATTCTACAAGAAAATGTTATGTTATTAGTTTACAGCTTCACAGGGCTCCATTTATTGGCTTATCAAACAGAAACACCAGAAACAGGAAGTCCAAAAAGTTGGAGTTCTACTTTCACTAATCCTCAGAGGTCTCAAACATCATCAGCAATGTCAGGAAACCATTTTAGCTCTTTCCCCCTAAAGACGACTTTTGATACCCTTAATAACCTTATGATGAGTTCTGACGCCTCAGTATATGTCAATAAAGTTGTGGTTTGATGACCATTAGAGTAGTTTCTTAGTTTCCAAATGTAGCTGCATAGGCAAAGACTGCCCACACTAACTTCTGATGGCCTCTCAGTCATTTTGGCCTATAAGCAGCTCAAATATGAACTTCTAACATCACAAGAATGCATTAATAAACATGCAGCAAATAGGACGCTGATAAAATCCAAACCAGTTTAGCTTACCAGGCTATTTCGTACTTATTTGACTGTTTATTGGTTTCAATCTCTAGTTTAGACAGTTGGTGCTGCTTTACACCATTTTGATGTGCACCAGCTTACAGATGGAGAATTTACAAAAGTGAATCATCGGCTCTCAAAGGCAGAAAATTGGGCATGCATCAGAAAGCCCATTTCCTCCATCACACTGTCTGGCCGTCATTAGAGCTGCTCTGTGTGGATAAAAGGTGAGGAGAGAGTGGACGCTGATGAAAGCCTCTGCAGGCTGCGTCTCATTTAACTGAGCCCGATAGCTGGAGGAATGGCTCGTTAAGACACCTTAAAACATCGTTAACGTTTCCTCTCTCAGATTGTTGCCTATCTGCTCAGGGGTCACAGAGTCCTCCCAAAGTCTTCCACTACAATCCGCCAATCAGCCCGACACAGCCCCGATCTGCAGACATATCTCAGAGGAGTTAGACAGCATTCAAAAGGCCATCCTGGTGCTTAACAGTATAAAACCGGGGAACTGAATCCTTAAATCGTCACCTTTCGACCGGTGACTCTGCTCAATGTTACACCATAGAAAGAGGCACTCTCTATGCGAGATGGTGTTTTCTTTCACACCCTGCATGCATTAGTGAAACCTCCTGATAGTAACATGTGCAATCAATCCTTCATTTAGAGATACTTGTGCCTAACTGTTGGTAAAAACCGAAGAAAAGCGAAGCACTGAAAACATTTTTCAGAGCGACGCTGCAGGAGCGCCGTTTGATTTTATCCACAGCTTTAAAGCAGCCGAGGTCAGGTTCAGCACACGCTGCCATTATCTGACATTTTGGGAAATCCTTTACACCTGAGAGTCAGATGGATATCTGCTGTCGAGCAACACGTCATTACATTCAAGTCTGAGTGTCCTTTTTCTGGAAGATAAATCCTCGCCTGTTTGAAGAACCTGGAAGGTCATTTAATGACACTTAAGGGTGGTTTAAAGGTTTTTGCAGGATCCTGAAAGACTCTGAATACATTCCATCAGCTGATAAAAAGGATTTACGATTTACGTTTAAGTGTAGCTGTGGAAATATGTCAGCACTCTGTGAGGACCACAGATTGTCTTAAATTTCTAACAAAGAAAATCTAAAATTAATTTAAGCCTAAATTTGGGGTTTTAATGGTAATTTAATTTAGACTTATTGGAGGGAGGGTAAATGTTTCTAAAGTTGTCAAAAATCCCTATAACTTGTGGGCTGGTACTAAAGTAAGACTGAAGAACATTTTTAGTGAGTTGGATATTAAACATGGACGTCATCTGTTGGGTAGTTTTGGATCATTTTGGCTGATGCCATGTTGAGTTTTTTTCATAGGTGACCATATTTGGAGACGAGGGTGGAGCTAATGCGGCCAAACAGATGTGATGAACTTATCGATAGAGAACAAACATGTATACGTGTTTGTTACGTTTCTGTATCAGCCTGTAAACATGTTTATTTCTGCTGTTTTAGTTAAACATGGTAGTCTATGGGGACTGACTCACTGCTGCCTCTGTTGGACGTCAGAGGAACTGCAGGTAGTAATGCCGTTCTCTGCTCTGTCAGAAGCTCAGTGTGATCTGAGGTGTTTCCTCGTCAGGCTTTGCCTTCTGCAGGTGGTTGAGGCTTTTTTATCGTCCTGTGTTGTTTCTTTTCTCGTAGCAGGTCTTTGACTGAAGTGCTGATGAATCTTGACGTTCTCAGCGGCAGCATTGTTTGTCTTCAGTCTGATCTCCGGTGGCTCTGAAACGCTCTCGGAGCACCGTAATCGTGGCTCTCTGCGATCCCTGCTGCTCTCACGTTCTCTTCTTCCTCCCCTCATTCACTTTCTCCTCAGCTCCCTGCAGGAGGGACGAGGCTGTGCTCTGCAGCCTGGAGAGCCTTTAAATGACTGACCTTTGAGACAATCAGAGGCGCCCCGGCTCAAACAAACCCTGAATGGCGAGTGGCGGTCCCCGGGCCCCGTAGCAGGCTGCTGCCCGGGCTGCCTGTGGATTACATTGATCCCCTGAAACAATGGCCTCACTGCGATCATGGTGGAGAGGGCTGATAAATAACATGTGAATAAATGCAGGGGGAGCACCGAGAGTCATGGAGGCCTCCACTCTGAGCTAGAAAGGATTTTCCTGTTGTTCCAGAAGCTTCACGTCCCAAACAGCCAACAGGTTTCATTTGACTGGGTTCTGTTCAGGTGACATCGTAACCACGGCTGACATGAACTCATATGGACAGTCGTTGCTGCTGCCATTTCCTAATAAAACCCAAACTTTGAAAGTCTTTGTGATTAGCAGCCGGGCTCGGCCCCCCCACACGCACCCTGCCCCGCCCCACCCACTGTAGTCTATAGAAACGCTTGAAAGAAGCAGCGGCGGGATGAGAGGGGCAGCAGTGAGTGGAATATAAAACATTTAGAGAGCTCTTCTTCAGGAGTGTGAGGGTGAAACGAAGGGAAAAGGGAGATTACTCCGATCTGCCAGGGGAAATGTTTCTGTGGTACACGCTGAGGTGGGGGAGGGGCGTAAATGTGTATTCATGTGGACGAGGATGCTGAGTGTTTCCAGTTTAACATCAGAGTGCGAGTCGAAGTCATCGTGAGCTGCTTCAGATTCAGGTCAATGCCAGTGTGAACACTTTCAATCTGTTTGTGTCGAGGGGAGACATCTGCTCAAGGATTCAGGCTCGAAGAGGTCACCTGTTCACCTGCTGCTACATTGTTAACAGGCAGGATAGATGTAAAGGATCACGGAGAGCATGACCAGCATTTATACAGCAGTCAGTCTGCTCGTACACTAAATACTTACTTTGAACACAAAGTAAACCCTAACAAAACCTAACAAAAACACAACATTCAGAGTAAATATTAAAAATATACTTAAAATATCAAAATACCAAGTAAAAAACAAACTAATGTAGAAAGTGCAACCTAAACACTTTTATAGTAGAAGATGAGTTCATTCTTGAAAATATAATAAAATGTAGTTTTTTTAGGTTTTTAAAATAACTACATAAAAAACCCTAAAACTTTAGCAAAGTAAACACAAAAATAAATAAGTAAATAAACAAGAATGAAGAACAATGCAAAGAAGAAATTATGAAGCGAATGGAAAAATACACAGAATAGTAAAATATAGAATAAATTATTGAAATCACAATAGTGAATTTAACAAAAGAAATAAAAAATTAGTATTACAAAGCTTACCTTTTTGTATTTTACCAAAATAAAATGTAAAGTAAATGGTTTTAAATGCTAATTAAAATGTTAACATTTAATTCTTGAAACTAAAATGAAACGTCAATTAAAAAGTAAACATATACACTACATCCACAGTGTATACAGATACTGTGTATCATGACTGCGAGCTTGGAGGTGTTTCAGACTGTGTCCTGATTGGTGTAACCTTAAAGGCAGGAGGACGCTCTGCACACAGCTTTTTAATCTCAGCCACGGCTTTGTTTGCAGCATCTTCATACAGCAGGGAAATGTAGTTTCAGGAGGAGTGTGAGGTTTACTCAGAGTACAGACAGACTGAGGCCCTCACACACAGACAGAAGCATCTCCGTCTCACTCTCCCTCCCTTGCTGTTATCTGTCTGTCTCACCTGTCTGTCTCTCTCCTGTCTCTCTGCAGAAGCTGGCGGTCAGAAGCTGTCCTGTTGGGACGACTAAGCCGCTGTCGCTCATCAAGCCTCCCAGTCAGGGCATCGCCATCTCCGTGGTGCCGGCCAAGGCTCCCGTTTCCATGGTAACCGCACACATTAACGGACAGAAGGCGGTGGCGAGCTCGGAGCCACTGCAGACGTCCCCCATCAACCTTCAGACGGGCGGCAGGGCCGTGGCCGCTGGAGTCCACCCGTTCAGCAGCAGCAGCAGGAGAGCCGGAGAGCTGCCCCCCTCCCAGGTAACGTCCCTGCTGAGGTCACAGCGAGCAGCTGTTCCAGCTGTTTCTGTTCCAGTCATTAAGGTGAACAGGTGTCCAAAAAGAAACTACTTTACTTTTTCACACAGAAAGTAGTTTATTTCATGTGATGGATTACTACATCACACATCCGGAGATTGAGTCTCAAACACGTTATTGTGGATTCACCTGTTTTCCAGGTGAGCGATGAGTTAATAGGTTTCACACAGTAACACAGACCTGCACCCGATGCAGGCAGCTTTGTTTCCTATGGGTAGAATTTGGGTTTTTGTGAATGGAGTCTGGTGGGTTTGGATGGAGCCGTCTGACAGCAGCACAGGCACTGAAGATGTTTTCGTACTGTCCGCAGTGCTACGATTAGCTTGTCCTTTATTTACCACAGTAAATGTAGAACATTTGTTCCTGGTTCCTGGTATTAGTCTGCCTATTTCCTGGAAACTATAATGAAGGATATCAACAGCGGATGAATCTGTGGAGCTTCACAGAACATCTGCTTTTTGGATCCTTTCAGAGGTATTTTATTCTTTACAGTCTTTAGTCTACACTGCAGAGCTGAAGTTATAAAAACATTTTCCCTCTGAACATCAAACTGGTTTAGAGTTTACAGATTTAAAGATGCTTTAACGTTACGCGTTGGTCTTTAAAGTCGCTGGTTTAGGGAGTAAATGTGTTTTCTTTACAGCCGTCACCTTGTCGAGCATCCAGAAGCTTCTGTGTTGAGTCACTGCTCAGAAACCTTGGAAGAAGAAAGAAATTGCAAAAACTTGACATTTTGTGCCAGCTGCTCTAACATCCTGAATGATTGTGTTTGAATGCAGCTCAGCGTGTGAATGCTCAGAGTCAGACAAAGACCTGAAAACCACAAATTCATCAAGCACAATACTTCCTGTTAAAGTGTCATTTTACTTATTTCGTCAAAGAAATCTCAATTTTTTAAAAGCTGAGAAAAACACATCAAAAGCTCATGTATGTGTGGTCAGAAAACTGAGTCTGAATGTAGCAGAGCCAGCCTTGTTTTTTCATGTCGGTCAGTTTCCTGTCATAGAGTCTGATGGCGTGAGTGCCGCAGCTCGCCGCTAAAGCAGCAGCTGATTGTTGTTGTGATTCTGAACACAATGTGCAGCACGGAGGAGAACTCGTGGTTTGAACTCAGGGACTGTTTTCCACTGTTCCTCCTCCTCCTCTGAGCTGTTAGGATTCAGGCCGCAGCACCTCACCTCTTCCACACTTTGTATTCAGCACCATCACCTCCATCAGCACACAGTCGGGAACCGAGCTTCACGCTCAACACCGGCAGCCTCCACACTATTACTGTAATTGCACGGCACCATAGAGGGAGGAGGGACGAGCCTCGGGGCCCTTGGGCTCTGGCTTTATGCTTCCTCTGTCTGTCCGGCACATCAGCACACCTCATATGACACGCAACACGTCTGCTAATGTGAGACTGGCTCATACAGAGAGGCTGCACAGTCTGACAGGAAATAACATGAGGAAGCTCTGCATCTGAAACTAGTCCTAAACACCATGATGAACAAGGTCCAAAGCTTTCTAAAGAAGACCCAAATCAACACCTAAAAATGCAAGAATCAATGCCCCTAAAGGGATTTTGACTTAAATGGAAATGATGTCCTGGACGACGTTCAAAGCCTTTCTAACATTAGAGTTAAACTATAACTAGCCCAAACTATGGTCCAAAACGAGTCTTAAATCAGGCCTCAAAATGTCAGAAGCAATGTCCCAAACCTTTTCCAAAATATGTCTCAACTTAGAACATCATCATAAACAGGTTTAAAATAATGTACTGTTTAATATACATGCATCTACATGCGGTGCAGTGAGAGTCTGAGCTTCCATCAGGGCTGCACTGATAATCATAAAACTCAGTCAGTGCGCCCCAGGGCAGCTGTGGCTACAAAGTAGCTTGCTATCGCCAGTGTGTGAAAGTGTGTGTGAATGGGTGAATGACTGAATGTAGTGTAAAGCGCTTTGGGGTCCTATGGACTAGAAAAGCGCTATACAAATGCAGACCATTTTACCATTTGTTTAACACGGACCAGAAAATGAACACGTGACAATTGACAGTGCCACGACATTCAGGCTACATAACTGGACACTCGGTGGTGTTGACTGTTCTTCACACATCACCAGGGGACCGGTCAGGGTGGGTTTGCATTTCAGGTCTAAATTCTATATGAAGTGAATCTGACCCTGATGATAAGCAGGTTCCTGGCAAGCTGATGGAATTAGGTTTACTCAGCCTGCACTTAGAGGCTTTTTGTGAAGCTCGTGGCCTTGGCCTTGTGCTTCCTGTCTTCTGTCAGTTTGAGGCTTCTTACAGGTGGACGATCAGCTGCTCAGCTGCCGTTGCCTCTACTTGGGATGCAAAGCAGGTCGAACGTTTGGTGCGATAAGGCAGCTGCTTTTCATCATCGTGTCACTTTGGACAAACCCAGACTGGCTCTCCTCCTCCTCCTCTGTCAGGTGGTGGAGGTGAATGCTTTGGGCAGCAGGACTCTCTCAGCTCTTTATGGCTACATTGTTCAGCCGAAGCCAGCGCTCCTCAGCTAGCTGCCATAAAAGAAAAAATAAACCCTCACTCTCCCCGACACTTTTCTTGCCTCCATCAATTGAGAGTCGGTGGCTCATGTGTGAACTGAGATGAGGAGGGGGGGGGGGCAGGTCACTCCGACCACCTGGCCGCTAATTTGCAGATCAATAATGAGTTGTAATGGGACTGCTGCTCTGCATGAGTGCACACATTACAGCTGCATTGTTTCAGCACTTCAGTGAACTCTGAGTGCCGCTACACACACACACACACACACACACCGTTTCTCTGTGCAGAGAGACGGGGACGCCGAGGTGCCGCCGTGACCCGCTTTACAAATTCAAATCAGACTGTGTTCAGACGTCCCCCTCCTGCTGGTGGGGTTCATTATCTCTGCCAAGCAGGTGAGGCCTCGGTCTTTCACACACGACTCGAACAGTTTGGGGCATTTGGTAGAAAGTTTTGCTCCGAGTTTTTGAATTTGTTTTAATCATTTCAAGCTTTTCAAACACTTTGAGGTGAGGACCTTTTTCCATCATCTTTATTTGAAGGCTGGTGATTTGGCTTCTCCCAAATAAGAAAACTAAATGCTCACTCAACAAAGCAAAATCTAACCTAAAAACTCCAGACAGTTAAAGTAAATGTGTTACAGCCATGTGTTCCATGTACTGGAGTTTCTCAGCTGTAAATCCTTAAGAACAAATAAAGAAGTTCAAAATATAAAAGTGCATCATAACGATGCCCAAACCATCTTAAACAACTCAACAATATTTGACCTTTTGAATTTGTCTGAAAAAAAACCAACATCAACATCCTGAACAATGTTTAAAGTAGAAATTGTTGAAAAGCTTTGCTAAATGCCTCTTTATCCAGTCCTAAAACTACCCTAAACACCCAAACAGCATCCTGAACAGAAACTGATTTTAAACTAGTCCCAAACAACATCATCAACATCTCCCTGAATGTCTGAAACCTGGTTGTAAAAAAGCGTTTAAAACAGCGTTTCAGCCGGCGCCGAAACAGAATGGAGAAATCTGCATCTTCAGCACCGGGCCAGAGTTTATCTGAAGATGACATCAGAAACATTCAGCATGAGCGAGTGCTGCCTCAGAGGAAGGGATTCAAAATAGAAATCATAAAATGTCGGATTTTATTCAGATTTGTTATGAAGCCGGTGAGAAAGCAGCAGTTTTACGTGAGCTGGAGATAATTGGGGCTGGTTTCAGTCAGCTGTGAACCCTGGCTACTGATTGGAGCTGAGCTCAGCGCATGTTAGCTGAAGCGGAGGTACAGAGAGGCTGCGAGGAGGCCAAATCTGTTTGAAAGTCGTCCACTTTAACGCCAATCCTGCCTCTCTCTTTCATGACTCTCCTTCTCGCCGCCTTCCAAAGACATCTTTATCCTCTTAAAAACAGCAGCCAAGGTCATCGGTGCCGTCCGCCTCCAAGGCTCGTCAAAGCCAGAGGAAGGTAGACGGCCCCTTCAAGTGGTCTGCACGGGCACAGAGGGTCCGCAGAGAGCGACGGTCGCATTAATCATTATTTCATTTGTCAGCTGGAAGAGAAGAGAAGGCAGAGAACAAACACGCATGCTGTATCTGCTGCTGATTTAGCTGGGCTCGGTTCAGTCACAGGAACTCAGGATTCAGGCTTCACCTCCCAGACCCCAAAACCGGGGTTTCATCTGCAGCCCATCATTTACTTTGAGATATGTAAGTGTGTGTCTAGGGAGAAGTGCGAGGTCATAGACACGGACCAAACAGGCTGAAATAGATTTATTCATAAAGAGCTCTTCAGTGAGAGCGCCTCAGACTGAAGCACAGAAACACAGAGTGATACTTCAGTCTCTCTGGCTCAGATCTGCTCTGTCATTTCTCAGGATTTGGGGCTAAACAAGGACTTATAAACATTTCCATGAACATCTGTGACTTCAGTAACCATGACGACCACAGGAACAGCATTAGTGTTAACCTGACAGGAGCGTCCGTGAGGAAACATGGATCCTTTTTATTCATTGACCTCCTTACAGCTAAAACCTCAGTATAGATCAAGAAGCCGTGCAACAATCGACCTTTTTGATCATCAGCTTGTTTGATCCTCACAGCTTCATAAGTCCCGCAGACATCTGCATGAGCATCAGCTCGTTTATCTTCATTACAAACTGCAGTCAGATCAGTTTTAAGTGTCAGAGTGACGATCGATCAGGGTCTGAAATCTGCGTCGCTACTCTGATGTCTGATCTGTTTTCTTCACCAAGTGCATTCTGGCTAAACTTTAAAGGGTCGTCTCGGCATGTGGGGTGGAGGTGTGATCAGAGCAGGTTGGAGTAGATGAAAGCTCTCCTTTTACCTACATTTAGAGGTGGGGATCGTCGCCCTGCTGTGAGTCCTCCCGGGTTGGAATCATTTTCTCATATTTTGGAATTTTTGTGTTTGCTGAGATAGAAACGGTTAATTCTACTCTGATGATGGATCAGTTTTGGTACAGTCGATGAATTCTGTGATTCGTGATAAAGTTTGAAGGCAGCTTTAATTTGATTTTTAATAATTGGAGGTATTTAACAAGCATGCTGCGCTGCACGTTCACTTTAATCAGCACCAATCACAGACTCAAGGGCAGGAGGAGGAAGTTTTACTTTCAGTCAGCACGTTTGTTTTGTGCAGGTTTCAGAAACGAGTGTCTGCTGCGTCTTCATCATCATCATCATCATCATCATCAGTGTTCAAGTTTCACCGCTGAGAGCGTGAATGAAGTCGGTATGAAGCACAGACGGAACCAGAATTATAATATTTCCTGATCAATGTTCAATTTTAAAAAGTTGTTTTTAACATAAAAATCACATTTGATTGTTTAAAAACCTTTTGAAAGGAACATTTGTGTACTATTTTGTATGTGTACCAGTTTTTAATGTTTACTGTTTCATAAATAAGCAAACCTGTGTCCCTGTACTATAAAACACATTTAATTAAACTATAGCATCATATTCAGTACATGTATGAATAAATAATCAAATATTTTACATGCACAGCTGGGCCATACCCCGAGGTTAGCAGGGTTCAGGCCAGTGACCAAAGACTGTCTGAATTATGTTGTTATAAACACTGAGCTGCACTAACATGCTCACAGAGAAGTCACAGAGGTCAAACTCAGGATTTCAGGTTCAAATGAGAAAGATTCTCTTCTTATTTCCAGCTTTCTGTTTTCCTGCTGAGTCAGATTGTGAAACAGCGCCCCCGGTGGACAGAGTCCCCCTGTTTTTTGTAGAAACACTGAGTGCAGCTGAAGCTGCTGATGCTGCAAACCGATTCTGAAATGTGTTGTCTCTGCTGTGTGTGCGCCTCCTCCTCCTCCTCCTCTTCCTGCTGCCGCTGCTGCTGTCGTCATGAAAAACCAAAGTTCATAACCTCCAAGGCTCGCCCGCCTCAGGCCATAAACAGTCCTTTGACCTGTTGAGACTCCAACACTGCTCACTGTTTACAGCATTTACCCATCAAAAGTGGATGTGACGCAGAAAAGTCAGAGAAACTTCTGAGCTGATCTGTGAACACAGAGCTTTAATTTTTATGTCACCACCACAGTTTGAGAATTGAAGCTGTACTTTGTGAAACAGCTGCTCCTGGATCAGCTACTGATGAACAATCTTTAATTTATTTTAATTACAGCCAGAATAGTTCAATAAACACAAAACTCTTCCTTTGTTGACTTTCACATGTTGTGGTTTCATATTTTAGTTTTTTAGGCGTGAAATCACCTCAGTCTTCCCCTTATATCAAGTGTTCCAGATCGATGTTTGCATTGAACATCTTCCTAATAATGAAGTCAGAGTATGAACAGTAACCCCACCCACCTGCTTCTTAAGCCTTTTCTTTACAAGGACAGCCAATCAGAAGGAATTGGGAGGAGCTAAAGGAGCAGCCGTGGGTCAGAGACAGGAGAATTATTCTGATCCGTGTGTTATACCGAGCCGCTGCAGCAGGGTCCAGAAACAGATCCGGTTTAATGAAATCAAAGCTGATTGGACGGAAGAGGAGTTTGGCTTTATTTTTCTGTTTTCAGTTCTTCTCGTAGATGCCACAAACACAGCATCCTCGTCTGAATGTGACCCCGGCCCCTCCTCTCTGGTTTATCGCAGCAGGCCTGCGAGACTAGGGGAGGAGGACAGTGTATGTGCTGTAGAGCCTTGGTCTGCCTCGGTCATAGTGCAAACTTAAAGAAGGAAGCAGAGAAAATTCATTAAAAACAAGAAATCACTGGGCCGAGGAGGAGGGGGAGAAGGTCTCCTGAAGAGAGGGTGCTTAGGCTTGGAGAAAAGAGGCAGCAATTACCAAAATGAAAGCACTGCAAGAATTTTCATCTCTGCAGTTGCCATGGAAACCAACCTCGTCCTCCTCCTCGCTATGGAGCCGCAGCTCAATACAATGGAACGAAGGGATTTTCATAGAAGAAGAAAGGAGGGGAGGGAGCTGCCAGGAAACATGGAGGAGACGCTTGTGGCTCATTTATAGGTTAGTCTGACAGAAGGAGTTGGCCAATCAGGGTGCAGACATCAGAGGGGGGACAGGGGGCGCTGTGACGGGGCAGCACGCTTTAAAAGGAGATTAAACAGAGGGAGCAGAGACGACCAACAGGGAGGGAGGATGGGGGGTGGGAGAGGAGAGGACCAACAGAGAGGGAGGATGGGGGGTGGGAGAGGAGAGGACCAACAGAGAGGGAGGATGGGGGGTGGGAGAGGAGAGGACCAATAGAGAGGGAGGGAAGGAAGAAAGGAGTCATTTCACTGACTGCTGCAATATTTTATGCATTAAACAATAAAAATCGATTTCTGGTATTTATTTTTGTACAGTTTGGAAACACAGACTGAACTTTGAGTGTTTTGAATGAATTCAGTGATCTGACTGTAATTAGGCACTCCTGAGCTTCTGTACCGACTCTTCCAGCAGGTGGAAGATGTTTTAAAGTTTCCACTGAGCTCCTCTGAGCAGCAGCAGCTACTTAAACAAAGAGAAGTCCTCGTTAGTTTGAAGTGACGACCCACTCGGCTGCTTTTCTGTCTGTTATTTATTTGTTGCCTGGCAACAGGAAGAAGTAAAACGCTGCTGACTAACGAGACGCTGGAAACTGAACGACTTCCTGAGGAAGATTTCTTCTAATGAAGTTGCACAACAGCTCAGAAAGGCGGAGCTTCTCGTTACGGCCCGCCCCACTGCTGCGGTTTGACTTCTCTGAGCAGAATAATCTCAGGTTCAGGTTAATGAAACGGTTTCCCAGCATGCAGGAGTGCTGGGGTTTGATGTAGGAGCAGCTCCCCTTGTGGTTAGTGTTTGTTACCACAGCAGAATGAGCCCACTGGACTATATGAATTAAAGAGTTCATGTGGCAGACTGACCCCGTGTTGTGTGTCAGTGATGATGCTGAGCAGATGGATTTAGACGCCGGACTCGTTTGAATCCTGCTTCAGGCGGGTGATCAGTTTGTTGATTTGTGCTTTCTGTGTTGGTGCTCGAGGAGCTTCCTGCTGAATAACTGCGTTTGTGTGTTTCAGATGCTGGGAACTCTCACTGCTGTGCCCATCAAGGTGCCTCAAGTCAGCTCCCTGCACCGGCTGGCAGGACAAGCAGCCACTGTGCTACCTCAGGTAAAACCACTTGCTAGGTCGTCCTTGTTAGTCTGACTCCACATCACGATAATGTGTCAGGGTCAGCAGAACAGTCTGAGTCTGTAACAGTAGCTGCTTCAAGCTGAAAGCACCAGAATGATGAAATCAAAGTGTTTCTGCTGAGCAGCTCAGTGCAGAGTTTAAAGCAGAGCTTCAGGTTTGATCTGCGGGAGAACGCCCACTTCTTCTTCTGTCTTTGTAAAAGCTGCAGAGTCGCTTTGTTTTGTGCTTCAGTGACACTGTGAGCTGCTTCACACACTGTAACAGTAAATACAAGACCGCTGAGGAGCGAGGAGGGAAAAAGAACAATTACGAGAAAAAAGAAAAGAGGAGCAGGAAGATGAAAAAGAAGATGAAGGAGGAGAAGACCAGGGAAAAAGAAAGAGGGAGATAAGTAGGAACTAGAGGAAGTGAAGAAGGAAGGAATGGAGGATGGAAAAGATGAGTTTTTTACAACCCCTTTTAACTCTTTGTTTTGTTTATATTGTCTATTTTATTACTTAACCTTCTGTTTATTTTAACCTTTTTGTACAGCGCTTTGTGACTACCTGTCTACGAAAAGCGCTTAATAAACTTAACTTACTTACTTACTTAACTGGATGAAGACAAAAAAGAGTAAGAAGATGAAGAGTAGGAGGAAGAGTTTTTTGTGAAGCTGGGTTGTGTCTCTAAATCAGTGAAAATAAAAGTTTTATTTGGACGGTTCCTTTTTACAATGAAACATTTGAATGGGATAAATTTGAGTGGGATTTTATTTTGAAAGTCTATCCCAGGTGGAAGTAAATCAAATGAAGTTTGGACACACTTGAAGAACCTGCAACATCCAGCAGGGGGCAGCAGAAACCAGAGCAGCACCACAGAGCTCACAGTTTCAGTCCCTTCATCATTTATCAGAAAATCCTCTCATAAATGTCTGAACTCAGTGTAACAGTGTTGACTCCTGCCTCACAGTGTGACTAGTTTAAACCATCATCTTCACCATCCTCCTCATCGTCGGGTATTCTTCGGATCAGGGGTGACACGTCATGCTCAGTCTCAATGATTTGTCCGAGTGCTTCAGGAAAAGTTGAGTGTGTGTTGTTAAAGGCTGTCCTCCTGATGTCCCCCTGCAGGTCAGGCCAAAGACCCAGATCCCCGACAGCCTTCCCCACAGCCCCTGCCAGGAGCTGCAGCCTCTCAGCCTGCAGCGGGCCGCCGCCGTGGTCAGCCCCAAGAGCCAGGGCCCCACCCTGCCCACCGCCAACAGCACCTTCAGCCCCGACCACCAGCCCAACGGCCAGAGCGATGCCTCACCGCCCTCGGCCCCGTCGGGGGGCCCCGACTCTAGCAGCCCCGTCCACCACGCCTCTGCGGGGCCTGGCGTGGCCTACGCCATCATTGCTGCCTCCCCCGCCACCAGCAATGGGATGTCTACTGTCAGCGAGGCTGTCAAGGTGCAAAAAACAGACAGAAACCACGTTAATAATAATAATAATAATAATAATAATAACAATAATAATAATAATAATAATAATAATAATAATAATAATAATAATAATAATAATAATAATAAACCATTCCCCTCCTGGGAAATGGTTTGGACAGCTTTGGACATGTTTCCAGCCTTTAAGTCAAACTTTCATATTGAGCCATTTGTTAGTTTTCTTTGGTGCCCCCTGGTGGCGGAGCCTGCTGAAACTCAGCTGTTTTTACTGTTGATCAATGTGTTTGTGTCTGATTACTAAAGCTAAACTCAGACTTCACTGAAGCTGGTTTAAAGATTTTTAATCTGGTTAAATGAAATCGAAAGGAGCCAGTTGAGGTGGTTCGGGCATCGGACAAGGATGCCCCCTGGGCACCTCCTGGATGAGGTTTTCCGGCATGTCTCACCGGGAGGAGGCCCTGGGGCAGACCCAGGACACGCTGGAGAGATTATATCTCTCGGCTGGCCTGGAAACGCTTTGGTGTTCCCCCCGGATAAGCTGGAGGAGGTGGCTAGGGAGAGGGAGGTCTGGGCTTCTCTGCTTGGGCTGCTGCCCCTGCGACCCGGCCCCGGATAAGTGGAAGAAAATGGATGGATGGATAAATGAAACCGGAAGTCATCTACAGGGGGCAGGTCACATCTCCTCTGACGTCACCTGTTTGTTTTCAGGTGATTATCATCCAGCCGCAGGCGCCCAGCAGCACCGAGGGGTCCCCGGCCCCGCCCACCCCCAAATCCCCATCCACCCCCAAATCCACATCCCTGAAGAAAGACGAGGACCCCGAGGTGAGACGTTACTCTTCATCTTCATCATCATTACAGTCAGCAGTCAAATCCAACTGAACTTCATCCTCACGTCGTCTCTCTCTCTCTCACTTTTCCAGAAAATCGCCTTCATGGTCGCCCTCGGCCTCGTCACCACTGAGCACCTGGAAGGTGAGTTTCCAGCTGCTCAGAAGTAACAAGTACTTTTACTCGAGTACTAACCTGATCGACTTTATGTGTCAGCTGCTCCTCATTACATTTTGAACAATTCAGAGAAAACATTAAAAAAAAAGCTGAAGGTACACTCTGTTAGCAGATGAAACAGCAGTTTTTAAAGTGTTTGTGTTTCTGTGAACAGAAATCCAGATGAAGAGGCAGGAAAGGAAGAGGAGAAGCACAGCCAACCCGGCCTACAGCGGTCTGTTCGAGCCAGAGGTAAGAGAGCCAAAAAACGCTGCGATCGCCTTTAATCTAGATTAAATGAGGAATGTGAGTAGTGCTTGTGTTCATGCTCTCACTCTGTCCCTCGTGTCCCTGCAGCGTAAACGCCTGGCGTCACATTACCTGAACAGCTCACTCTTCCTGTCAGCACGAGGTAAGGAACAGCTCACCATCCTCTGCCTGCATCAGCATGTTTAAACAGCTCACAATCAAACACTTTAACTCCACGTTCTCACAGTTTTAAAGTCAGTTTCATCTCTCATTACCCAGCAGCAAAAGCAGTGAAACATGACCTTTAACCTCATGGGCTATTTCACTGATCCTGAACTGAACTGTTCAAATTTGGTTCCGAATGTGCCGATTTCACCTTCAAGTCCTCACGATTCATGGTTCAGACATCACTGGACTCCCTAGGGTGACCTCTGACCTGCCAGCAGGAAGTAGCACATGCTGATGCTCATTCACTCATTCCTTCATTCACTCATTCACTCAGCTCATTGATTGCAGTGATCTGATTGGTTGATCTTGACTCGGTTACTAACCTACCTGAGATGTTTTAACTGAATGGCCTGCACGGCTTCTCCTCTAACCTGCCACTAACCTCTGCTCTGCTTCAATCCACATGCTAGACTCTGAGGATTTCTGCTGGAAGGTAGGTCATGTGATTCATAATGTCATACCCGTGTTTCAGGTCTTCTGTTTTCAGATGTGCATTAAAGTTCTTCATTTAAATCATCAGCCCGTCTCTCTTTTCACTGTCACTGACACTGTGAGATCATAGGCTAGCAATGTGTCAATCACAGGTAGCCCCGCCCTAAACTGTCCCCTGCTTCTTGCTCCTCTAATGGGACGTCATTTCCAAAATGAGCTACATGTTTTATTGTAAAGTATCAGATGGAGTTCACTGAGCTCAGGGGTCAGCTGGCTGGAGGCTCCCCCTGCTGGCTGTTAGAGAAAATGCAAACCCTGGTGGATGAGACCGGTACTGATGGATGCTTTTCGTGCTCTGACAGCAGGACTTGGAGCATGATGACCACTGTGCCGTATGTAAGGAGGACGGCGAGCTGCAGCAATGCCACAATTGCCCTCGAGCTTTTCACCCCACCTGCCTCCACCCACCACTCAAAACCCCACCCAGAGGCCCCTGGTACTGCCCCAAGTGCCAGAAGAAGGTATGACCTTCCCGTCCTCACAGGTTCAAAGGTTTTTGGCTTTCGGTGCTTAGCATGTGTGTCTAACAGCATCGATCTGTTTTCGCTGTCCAGGTCCTGAATAAGGAGAACATGTCATGGCCACAGAACTTCGTTCAGTCCTACGTTACACACAAGACGGGTAAGACACGCGGTGAGCAGCCATGTTTGTCCGAGCGTACTGACGGTGCACTGATACATGTTTGTGTGTGAGCAGTGAGGCAGGAGGAGAAGCGACGGCTGCTGAGGAGGAACAACGAGCTGAAGAAAGAGTGTGCTCACCTGGAGGAACAAGACAAGCAGCTCAACAAGACACTCAAAGTACGAACACACACAGAGTTCAGCGACACACTGTGGTCACAGGTCTGGGTCCAACTTTTCCTGCGCTTTTGATCCTTCGTAGCTTCGTAGGTGCAGCAGCAGTCTTCACATTATAAGTCTTTCAGTGGGTTTAAAACTGATTTGGTTGCAATTTCTACAAGAGCTTAAATGTGAAACTTTCATGTGGACATGGATGCTGTAGTTTGGGAAAAATAACACAAATTAACTTTAAAAAAAACACATTATATATAGTTCAATTTTATTTACATAGTGTTAATTCACAACAATAACCACCTCATGGTGTTTTATACTGGAGTGACTTTATAATAATAGATTATGAAGATTTATGAATAGAATGAAGAAGAAACACTCAGTGCATCATGGGAATCCCCCAGCACCTATTGCAGCATAACTAAGGGAGGATTCAGGGTCACCTGATCCAGGCCTAACTATATGCTTTAACAAAAAGGAAAGTTTGAAGCCTAATCTTAAAAGTAGAGAACAGTACAGAAGAGCAGCCCGAAAACTGAAGGCTGTGCTTCCCATTCTGCTTTTAGGAACACTAGTACTTCTAGGAACAACAAGTAAGCCTTAAGGAAATGTATGGTCCAGAGGATGTGGACATTTCCTGTTTAGACAGCTTGATTAATCCTAATTTAGATTTCTGTTTTAACTGATAAAACACTCCTGTTGTCTTCCATAGATGGTTTCTCCATTTTGAAGTGTTTTCCTTTTTAGAGTTTAGTTACTAAAAGCTTCACTTGCACTGGCCAGCTCACCATCATTAACAGCACTAAATCAGAAAGGTGACTCATTACACATTTATTAGTGCACTGCATGGAAACACCACCAGAGGGCAGTATGCAGTAGTAAACAGCTGAGCTCAGCGAGCTGTGAAACAGAAAAAGGCATGCTAAACAGAGTGTAAGGGCCTGCTGATGAAGGCGAGGCAGCTAGCTAAAAAACGAAGCACTTTAAACTGCTGTCACCTTCAGATGAATGGAAGAAGGGTTCAACTGTGTTTAGCACGCCTCGTTTCTGTTTCATAGCTCACTGACCTCAGCTGTTAACACTACATACTGCCCTCTGGTGGCATTTTAAAGCATTGTATCATTGGCCTCTCAGTAGCCATCCCCGGTAGAACCCACGTTCCATTCAGGCAGATGGGACTGAACACCTGGTTATACCTGATTTTAACACCTGATCTGTAGCACGTAATACGTGTCCCCAGATGAGTGATCAGCATGCAGCTCACATGCTAATGCTGGGTGTGCCGGTGTACCTGTTGTACCTGACAGGAAGTTGCTCTTCTGTTTCCTGTTGCTGCAGCAATGCATGGACCTGCGGGAGCGCCTGCTGGGGCAGCAGAGAGACACTCAGGCGTCGCTCGACCGCCTCAAAACTCTCATTAGGTTGATCCAACGCGACCAGCTCATCCAGGTCACCATGACGACCACCGCCACCATCGCCACGTCGCTGCTCTCACAGTCCTGGATCAAATCCACCAGCACTGCCGCCGCCGCCACCCCGCCGGGCCCCTCGGCCACGCCCCTGCAGACAAGCCACAGCCAGGACGACGTCAACATCTAGCCCCGCCCACCAGAGCTCCGAGTTTTTCCACAGAGGGCAGCGGTGATGATTTCTTTAGTCAGAAAAATATTGATGAAGAGCCTCTATCCTCCACACGATTCAAGTATTTTTTAAAACCCAACACCTACAGTGCTTACGAGATTTCTTTTTTTAAGTTCTTTTCTATTTATTAACATTCTTGGCCTTAATGTATTTATTACAAAAAGTTCGATTACAGCGTGGCGGCGGGAACGCGCGGCCCAGAAGATATTTCCCTTTTTTGAAACACAGGTCTGATTCCTGTCCTGCGTATAGAGAGAGAGAACAGTAGAGTTAGAGTAGATCCAGGATGGATGGAAGTGGACGGACTGTACATTGATATATCTGAGTAAATGTTTGTTCTCATTCTCCTATGAACAATGTTTTTGCCATAATGATTCAGGAAAATGTTTTCATCGTGTATGTGAACGCATACGAGCCTTCAAACAAAAGCAGAGAATAACTTTTTTCAGTATTAATAGAGTTAAAGTCAAAGAAAAAAAGTATTTAAGATTAAACTACAGAAATTAGCATTTCTAGTGGAGATTTTAGTATTTTCATGCTGATGCCTGTTGAAAAATGTAAGTTTGGAGTATTCAAGGGGATCACTGTACATATGTTGTATTATTATTATTATTATTATCACCATCATGATCATCGCAGGGTTTTTCTTTTTCGGTTTTCAAACTTTACCGAAGTCACACGCCTGAACGAGACGAGTTCCTGCTCGTTTAAAACATCCACTTCCTGTTTGACAGCAGAGCCAGAGAAACATGCCAGAAATATTTTCATTAAAATTCATTTCTTATTTAAATCAATAGTAAATATTGATGCATCTAGATTGTAAAAATAACTGCAGAGCTTCACATTCTCTTTAAGGTTTAGTCGAAGAAAAGCAGAAAACAAACCATGCAAACTCTAACCTTTGCTCTTGAAAAACTAAGACTGCACTTAAAAAGTCAAAACTGCTCTGAAGCTCTGAATGATATGAGTTATTAGAAAACCATTTATAAAAACCGCTGAGCCCGACATTAAACTGGATTTCATTGGTTCAAACACCATGATGGTCAGATACCATGAGCGCCGATAGTAGGACCACAAATGTTTGATCTCCAGTGAACCAACACAGACCTTACGGGAGGTTCACACACAGGCCCAGCACTGAGTTTGTCTGCTGCTCACCGTGCAGCCAGTGCACGCTCTGCTGGACAGGCTGCTCCTCATTCATCCTCAGCACATTATCTGCATCATGCTCAGTTTGAAAAGCCCAAAATGTTTCAGTATCAGATACGTGTATGCTGAAGCAGACAGAAGAAGCTGCTTCCACATTTACGAGGGGTCAACACAACACGTTTAATCTGGAGAGTTTTACTCCTGATGTGACCTCAAACTGATCTTTGTCTCATTTCAACATCACCCATCAAAATACTGAGTCAAGTCCTGTTAGACCACAGGAGAAACACATTCACGGCTTTAATATTAAGAACCAGCAGATCTTCAGTAGTCTCTGAATAAACTGTAAGCTGTGTGTAAGTGAACTTCTCTCTTCGTGCTGAGCTAAAGTAAAAAAATCCCGCTCTGCTGTCACAGGAAGTGATTGGTTAAGTGGGCGGGGACCGCCGTGTTTGCTCACAGCTGCACTCGAACACGCCGGCGTTCAGTCGATGTGACCCACCCGCCCCCTCTCACCTTTAACCAGTATAAAAAATATGCCAAAAACATTTTGTTGTTTTTGTACTGGGATCAGTAATGTGCTTTTTTTCTTCCCCTGCCCGTTTTTATATTTTTCGCTTTTTTTACTCGTGTTTTTCGAACAGCGACAAGCCTGTTAATCCGACAGATGAACACTGCCTCAAGTACAAATTGTTTGAAATCCAGGGTTTGCGTCTTTGTTGCGTCATTTTATAAACACGTTGATCGGAAATGGGACCGCTCTGTCAAACTGTCGGCGGGCCGGGACGCCGCTGTCAGTCCATTTGTCTCGCTAGTCTTCCTGCTGGTCCAGAGAGGTTCCATTTGAGTGTTATGAAGTTAGATTTAGTACATTTTTTATTTCTTTATCATGCAGCTCTCAACTTCCTGTCGATGCACAAACATGAAGAAACGGTCAGAAAAACAAAGGCTTTATCAGGAGGACGGGAAGGAATACATAAAGACGTGATTTTATTTTATGAGTCATATCAAGTCCAAAATACCGAAAAGATCCTTAATGTTGGAGAAACATCATCTGCACAAAAGATTAAAAAACAGCCAAGCGACTCTGAATGAAAGAAACGATGAGCAATACATCGGCAAAACGGTTCCAAAGTGACTTCACTCCAAAAACACGTGCAAAGGCCTCCATCGGCTTTTGACCGCGCTGAGAGACAAAAGTGGGCACGGAAACACGACAGCCTGACTTTTCCAAAAGATGCTTTGAAGCTGACGCCTGAAATCTGTGCACCTTCACGTCCATTAGGTTTGAAAGAAAAATAGAATTTTAGAACCTCAACCCAAATCGAATAAATCAGGGGCACAGAGACTGAAAGGATTTTTGGTTTGTTCTGCTTTCATTTTGGCTTAAATCTGCGAACATGTTCATAATGATGGATTCTTGTAACTCCAAGAGTCAGTAACATGAACTGACAAAATAAATAAAAGAACAGACGGTATCAAAAAGGATTAATTTTAAACTACTGACAGTAAGAAGAAGGCGTAGGTTGTGAAGGTGCACAGACGACAGACACCTCGGCTGACCGAGGGATCCCAACCTCAGATGAACGTCTCAGCACCAAATTTTCCTGCGTCCGTCGTTCTCTCCATCGTCAAATGAACAAGTAGTTTTTCAGAATAAGAGCTCTGTCCGATTACAGAGCCTGGAAGGAAAGAATTTTCCTAAATTCTGACCCCAAAGTGCTGATCTCTGAACCATGTGCTCAGGTTAGTGAGTCCTGGTGCAAATAAAATGTTTTACATCAGAGGAAAGCAGCACATTGACGAAGAGATGCACGGGGATCTGTGTGGCTACCTTAGCTAATGAAGTCTTGGATTCAGCCCTTTCAAAATAAAACCGTTCAGTTTATGCTCCTGCATTATTAGTCAACACAAAAGGTCATCAACACCTTTTTTTCACTAACTTTGTTAACCTCACAGCAGCCATATTGTTTAAAAGGCACCAACAGCACAAATTTGGTCCAGTCCAGACTCCAGTTGGCTGAGGTGAGGCCTAGCAGACAGCTAGTAGTACCACCAGTGTCACCATCACCTGCCAGTCAGAGGTCCCGCAAACTGCAAACTTTAAACCTTAATACAGTTGAAAACAGTTGAGTTATAAAAACTTTCTTCCTCTTACAGTTGTTTGTCTCTGACTCCAGATATGAACCTCAAACTGTTACGTCTCCTTCTTCTCCAGTATACAAAACTGTCATCTGCATATGGAGACACTCATTCATCTCTTTTACTTCCTCTTATCTTTATTCTGTATCAAAAGTTTCATACAGTTGTTGTAATGGGGGAAATTATCTAAAGAGACCAACAGCTTTTGTATCAGGCTGTAAACATGTTTATTTTTACTGACTCACTGCTGCTGCCTCTGGTGGATATTAGAGCTTAACGTAACTTAACTCTTGAACTAAACTCTTCCTGGCTCTGAATTTGAGACGAACCTTCAGTAAAGTGTAAAAACATAAGATTAAATCTTTGAGGGTGACGTGAATGATGCCATGTGATGCATATCGAGTAGGGAAATAAAACCAGAAGGAAACCATATCAGCGCTCTGTGCCACGTCCATGCTCCGCCCCTTTAAAATGAACAAACCTGTCCCTGCGAGCGAACCTCTTCATCCGTTTCTAGAAATCCTCTCCGGGAGAAACTGTGCAGTGCTTAAACAGATCTATTTTAATACACGAGTCGACATTTGAACAAAAACATTTTTATATTCTTTTATGGAGGAGCAAAACGAGAAAACAGAACATTGGATTTTCTATTGTTTGCCAGTTCTGCATTCTGACTTCTCGCTTCGGTGTATTATTTTAACCACGAGGAGGCGGCGACGGCGATACGAGGGTGTTTAGATGGAAGTGAAGTGTGTGTTGGCTGTGGAAGTAGAAGTTTTCTTTGTCATTGATAAGGGGACTGTCCAGTGGATAGTGTGTATAGGAAAGTGTTTGTCTTAAATATGCCAATGTAGTTTTTCTTCTTTATGATGCATTAAAAAGCGGATTGATGGAAGGTGGTAAATGGTTAAAGAGTAGTCTCACCTTTTTGTACCAAGTTCTTACGAAAAATTTAATCATTAATAAACAAAATTCAAGAATAAAAACGGCTCAAATTTGTTTTATTCTTAGCAGTTTCTCTACAGTCTGCTCTTATTTTGAAAGTCCAGCCCTTGTGTTTCCTAGCAGCTGACTCACTGATGAGGATTTTGCTTTGGTGGTCCTCCTCCAGCTCTCAGACCACCTGAAGGTTCACGTTCACCTCTTATCTGAAGAAAACGTGGTTCAGAGCAGGAATGAATCACCTTCACACCAGAAAGCCGAGGGCTGAACCTGAACTCACCTGCGCACGGGTCTCCTCAGGCTCGGATTTTACTCAATTGTAGATGAGGATTCTGATTTCTGCTCAGTGTGAAGCAGAACTTTCTGAATTTGAGGCTCACAATGAAATAAGAGCGTGCTCAGTTTGAGCAGTTACAGGTAAAGTGACCTCAGGAGAGGCTGAAGGTGAGATCGGCTGAATTTAAATTGGGGACAGAAAATGGGGCAAGCTGACCGTGTACCTGCATGCTCATTGGCTAATGAACATACACTTCTTGGACGAAGCTGCTCAGCATCAACCAACCTTTTTTCTCCAATAATGCGTAAAGTCCAACAGTGGGAAAAAAAAATCTAAACAGAAACAGGTGAAAGCAGAGAATTTATCACATATAAAGGTACATACAAAAGATAAACCTCTGGGTGTCTTCTGTCAGGAAAACATTCTGTCTGTACAAACCTGATGAAGACGGCGCTCTGAGGGTTTGAGGTTGTTACAAAAACAAAACTTACTGCAATCAGTTTTTACATTTGGCGGTCTACACTCGACAGAAACACAAAATACCACAAACATGGAAACGGATTCCAGCTTCTCGTCCAATCAGATCACCTCCAGTGTTATTACTTCATTAAAGATGAAACACTTAAACTATAAATAAAACCAGTAACATCACCATCATGAGTCCAAACATGAAAGTTCATGCTTGGTGGTTCACCTTGCATTTGACCTTTTTAAAAACGATAAGAGTTAAAAAAAACAAACAAAAAAAAAAAAACCAGTTGCCGCCGTCCTTCAGGGCATCACCTGTGCAGGTGGGCAGCGGGAGCCGAACACTGTGTGGACGTGCTCGATGAGGAGCTCAGCGAAGATGTTGATAGGGGTCAAAGCGGTCAGGGAGATGGAGCCGTGACGAGGCCAGACCAGGTTCACGCCAAAAACACACGCCAAGTTAGATGGAGACATCTTGTTTATGATGCTTTCCTGAGATACCTGAAGGGGGCGCCGCACAGGCGAGAGAAAGGGAACAGAGAAAAGACATCAACAAACTGGAAAGGTGCTGCAGCATTCAGTTTGACCTGCTGGTGGCAGTGGTGTCTCACTGTTAGAGTAAAGTCACCGATACACAAACAAGTCCGACAGATCAAATGATGTTTTTGTATATTTAAGATGATTTTTATTGTAACTTATTTCCATATTCGAAGGCGTTGCTGTTTGAGTCGTTTCATATGTGACGTCACAAGTATGTAAATCAGCTGCTGAGACTGCTTCATTTTACAAATCTGACCAGCCATCTCCGTTTACAGTCTCAACTTTACAGCAATAAAAATCTGTTTGCTCCAATCAGCTGTTTGTGTGTCTGATCGATCACCTCCTGATTGGTGCTTCTCAGACTCATCTGAGCTGTGACTCACCTGGTGCAGGAAGCACAGCAGGTACTTTGCCACAATGAAATTATGTTCAGGTAGACTCTCGACGATCTGTTTGCATCGGGTCACCCGCAGACTGCTCTCCACATCTGTAACCAATCAAAAACCACTTTAGTCTCTAGAGAACACAGCCCCTTTTTCTTCTTCTCCTGCACAAATGCGGAAGTGCGGGACTCACGGAGCAGCTCCTGGACCTGGCTGTAGACCCGGAAGGTGAGCAATGGCTCAGGAAGCTCTCTGAGGAATGTCTTCAGGATCACGGCAGGAACGTGCACATCTCCTATCTGCTCGAAGTTCACCGGCTTCCCTGCATGAGTTTAAATAAAGTTAACTTTATTGACAATGCTATTTTTCACAGATCCTGAACTCAAATTTATCCACAAATTTTAAAAATGAAGATATGAAAATAAAATAAAAAATAAGATATTTTTTATAAAATAAAAAATAGTCCAATAGAAAAAATGGAAACAAAAACAAATATTTGAATCAAACTACAAGAAACAAAAAATAATACATAAGATAAATATAATCAAACTTCATAAAATAACATTAATAAATTGGAACTACAGCAGTGTAGCTTATATGAGTGGAAAAAGGATTGAAGAGGTTTTTTGGGTGAGCAGTACAGTAAAATCATGAATCAGAATCACCAGGAGCTGCTGTGATCGATTGATCACCTGGAGATTGATCTGTGATCATGCTGATCTTAAATGTTACGTTCATGAACACGAGCTGTTTCCCATTTCTCACAGTTATCTCCATCTGTAGGCGTCACCTCGCACGGCAGGAAGTTCATTTAATGCAACATTGGCCTCAGCATGACTTCCTGTCTGTTTTTTGTTTTTTTTATGACGATCTGAGAGCCCCTTCTGCTGAGGCAGGGAGACCCCACTCACCCAGGTTGTAGAGTTTCTGTACTTCCTTAATGAGCTGAACCCGAGCCGATCGCCTGAAGAGCCCCTCAGTCCTCAGACCTGAAACACACCGTGATGCATTCACTGACATCAGCTGACAACGTTTTTCTCCGGTTTACAGTCGACTGCAAATCATCTCCTCACAAACTCTGATCACAGGTCTCACCTTACTGACCTCACTTTATCTGACTATCCAGACAGAGCTCTCAACTGGATCAGGTGACCCTGAACTCACTGTTCTGAGATGAAGCCTCACCTTTCTCCTTCAGGTATGTGACAGTCTGGGTCATCACAGGTGGGATGACGGCCTCTCGGTTCTTCTCTCTGATGCTGTCAGAAAACACGTTTCATTGATTAAAACTGCTCGTTAGCGATCGACTAAACTACAGAGGGACACTCACTACTGCAGACTAACGCCGAACTGCTGGGTGGGCAGGGGGGGCCGGGGCGGGGGTGTTTTCACAGAGGGCGGGGGTCCTCCTTTCTGAGTCGCTCGCAGCTCCTCGTCATGTCTGTGGAGAGACGATAAACACGGTGAGGAGCCGTTGGGCGTCCGAGCCGTTGGGCGTCCGAGCCGAGGAGCACAGACCTGAGCACTTCTGGAGGGATGAAGAGCTGCTCGTAGTTCAGGTGTTCCCGAAGCTCAGCCAAGTAGTTCACATACGTCAGCTTCCTCCCAAACTTGTGACTGCAAACAGAGAAGAAGAGAAGAAGAAGAAGAATCAGCTGCAGCGTGACCGAGAGCAGCTAGAGAACTTCCTGCTAAGCCTCAGGTGTGCTCAGGTACATCTGTACCTGATCAGAGGTTTGAAAAGGTTCCAGACGATTCGGATGAAGTTGGTGGGATGGACAACGTACAGAGCCTTCAGGTTCTTCTTGTACCTGAAACACATGTGAACACACCTGCTGAATAATCCACTAAAATGAGCAGTCTGGTTCTCGGTCCATGATCTGTGGCTCTCCCTGACGGATCGTGATACCACGGTAACCTGACCGATACCACTTCTCAGAGACAGGTGAACAGGTAGAATCGACCCTGACGCACCCCTCAGGACTCATTGCTGCACCTCAACACAACTTTAAGCACATTTGAAGAGCTAAAGAGGTGCAGATATGTCCCTCAGTGCCGAGCCTGGTACCACATTTTTTAAAAGGTCATTTTTTGCACTTTTACAATTAAAAGGTCCAAATAAATAGAATCGGATTGAATCGAGTTGAATGCAAAACTGATCGACCGCCCAGCCTGTAGACCCCGCCGGCTGTTACCTCCTCTGACTGAAGGCTGGAGTAAAGCTGGAGGTTCTAGTTCTCCACAGAAACGCTAAAACGTCTCTGAGACTGAAGCTCGGAGTAAACTGTGCAGGGTCTGAAAGGGTTTCCTGCTGTATAGGAGCTGATGGTGCAGCTGGTCCACACACTCTGACGTCACACTGAGCATGCTCTGTAGCAGACCTGAACTTGAGGTTCTGGTCTCTGCAATAAAGCGCTGAACTTGACTCATAAAGAGTACAAGAAATTGAGGTGACCTACTTCCTGTCGAACTCGCTGTAAGCCTCTCGTAGCCACTTGAGAGACGGCTTGTTGCTGCTCCTCAGGCCATAGTGAAAGTACACCAGGATGTAGTCCATCTCCACGTACTGGTCCAGTGTGAACTTCAGGTACCTGCAGACAGAGAACATTGTGAAAACCAACCACAGAGGACCTGTATGTCTCTGACCATGGCAGGCTGCAACATGGACTCACTCGAGCAGGCGGCGGTGATTCAGCTGGTGCGAAGGTGGTAGGCAGCAGCTGCTAAAGACAATCAGCTTCCTGCCGTAGTGGTCGTCCCCTGGAACCAAAAACGGCGAGAATATTAGCAGATCGTTAGCATTGGTGGATCGTTCTGAACTGGTTGACTGAAGCGGAGCTTACCCGAAACCTGGATAATGCCGTGTCGAGCCACGTCGTAATACGGGTGGGAGGGGTCGAGACTTGGTGTGCTGACTGGAGGAGCTGATGGACCGTCTGTGAAACAACTGCCCTCCTCCTTCTGCAGCTCTGTTAGAGGAAGAACCACCTGAGTAACTCACACAGACAGTGTCTGTCTGTCTGATTGAGTGTGTGTGTCTCTGCCTGCCTGCGTGTGTCTGAGGTGCATTTGAACTCTTTAAAGTTTTCCTTTACAGCTGACTGATCAGCTGATCCATCAGGAGCTTCCACATTTAGTCAGTAACAGAAGATCCTTCACAATAAAAACCTGCAGATGTAACCACTGGTTATATTTGAGATTTAAAAAGTAACTGACCAATCAGATCTCTGGAAAATGACCTCACCATTGTGTCTGTAGTAAAGTGTGAAGTGGGCGTGACACTCGTCAGCTTCAGTGTGAGC